TTTTGACATGTTCCACTATTAGCTTAGCAGGAAAGCTGGGGGTCTCAGGTGGGCTCTGCAGGGTCTCAGGTGGGCTGTGCAGGATCTGTGCACAGCCCCCCTGAGACCCTGCGAAGCCCACCATAGACCCCCACCACAGATACTGCAGAGCCCACCTGAGACTTTCAGGTGGGCTGTGCAGAATCTATGCTGAGCTCTGCAGGGTCCCTTTACCACAGTGTGATCCTCTTACCTGCTTCCTCCGCCGTCCGACTGGCATTTCCGGGTCCCGGCCTCCTCCGCGCCCAACTGGCGCTTCTGGACTGGCTTCCTCCGTTACCCAACCGGAGCTGGGGACACCAAGACCCGCCCACTCCTGCTGCTGCTCCTCCACCTCATGGCCTCCACCTCCTCGATTAGGCAGCCGAGGCTGCCGAATTCTGTGCAGCCCGGCTTGCCTGACTGTTTTTGGGGCTGCATTTTTGGCGCCCCACTGGAAAGTGTTGCCCAAGGCAAACGCCTTGTTTGCCTCGCAGCAGATACACCCCTGACTACATAGCTCCATTAAGAGCTCACTTGTTAATATGTGTAATATTTTGTACACATGTGAAAGATTTTAAAAAAATCAGGACCTTTCTGCTTCTTCTACCAAAGGCAGGTGAACCCAAAAGCAAAAGATCACCCCCAAAAAAAGGAGCATGTTATTTGCAGCACAATTTCTTTATAAACCTATAATAAAAATAGGCTGGCAGTGTCTGCTCATACAGAACCCTTCTTAAAGCCCAACTCCAGGCATATTTATTCTCCATTCCTCCTACCTCCCTGCCACCCATTGCCAAGGTTTTTATTTTAATTACCTTGAGAAGCTGCTTTATACTCACCTAAGTCTGTCCGTGTCACTTCCATGAGTGAGAGCTGCAGTCTGTTCCCACTATGCAGTCTTCTGAAGCCTAAGAGGACCTAACCATCGGACAGCAAATAAGTGTCCACTTCACCCAGTAACGTGGGCACATAAATAAGGATTCTTCTTCTCTGCAGTGCTGATGGAGGTTGTTCATGCCTGGAGTTCAGCTTTAACTGCTTGATGTTTTATACACATTCAGACACAGTTACCCATGCCATGAAAATGTTAATCCTCATGGTGCATGTGAAGTAAGAATGTGCACCTGTACAAACTCTTAGTTCTTAAAATGCTCTGTGACTGACACCCCAGGTCTCAGACTAACAATCAAAAACCAATCAGCATCGCTGTCGACCTTGTGTTTACCTTGTCAACCAGTAATGGAAAGTCACTGGAAAGTTATTTTCAGTCAAACCTCTCCAGCGCTGCACTGCACCGTCCTCTCTGCACAACATGGCAAATTAGTCTTAGGCCTCGTTCACACAAGAAAAGGCCGGCAGGTACAGCTCCGTGCTGCGTGCATGGCCGCATCGGGCAGCTCCCGGGAAGGACAGGTGCTGCGTGTGATTAGTACGCAGCCCCCGTCCTTCTATATGGGAATACGCGGCTGTACGCCTCCCTATGCTCATGGGCCTTTTCCCATGTGAATGAGTCGCCATCTGCACACCACCCCAAGCCACCGTCCGCGTCACGAGAGCATCACATCCAGGTCTGTAACCCTTCTGCAATTGGCCCGGTGCCGCCCTCAGCAAATCTGCTGCTCCAGGCAAACACCTTGTTTGCCTCGTGACAGATATGCCCCTGACTGGCACACCTAGATGGCCCTGAGGCGTATAGGAATTTCCTATACTCCTCAGCTTTATAAATAAACTAATTTAAGTTATTGTGAAGTTAATGGTTCCGCACAGCTAAATTTGGTCTAGGCTTTAATGACGCCTGGTCAATGCTGGAGTTTTCCTAATGGGAGGCAACAATGATTTGTGTTCATTCTAGTTTTAGTGTGCCTTCTGGCTTACCCAGGGGTGCCTCAAAATTTTCACACAGCATCATACCTTTCTATGGTACAGTTGGGCTTCTGAAGTGCACTTGGTGTGAATGGAGGGGAGTCTGATTTAAAGGGGGACTTGTGATGTGAAGGGGGCATTCTGATGTGAAAGGATGGGCCTTGATGTGAATGGAGGGGGCTCCTGATGTCAATGGAGGGGGCTCCTGATGTCAATGGAGGGGGCTCCTGATGTGAATGGAGGGGGATCCTGATGTGGAGGAGACTCCTAACGTGATATGAAAGGCGGGATTATAATGTGAAAAGAAAGGGGCTCTGATTTTGGAAGGGGGAAACCCTCTTTTTGTGTTTTTGCATGGTGTCCCCCCTTAAAATCCATACCAGACCCCAATCAGGGATGAGGGGAGACACGTAATTATTTTACTTTTGTTTTTTTTAAGACTGGGGTGCTTCGAGATTTTGCTTACTTTTAAAGGGTGCCGTGGCTAAAAAAATAGATTGAAAAACACTGCCATACATATTCATTAAATGAGTGGACTCTGTAGGACATTCCACCAGCCAGGCCGAACGGGGAGTAGAGGAGAGCTGGGGGAGTACGGATCAGGAAAGTAAATCTGCTTTACTTCAGCCCCAGACAAGAAAAGAGCACCTAACCTCCACTGCAAAGGGGTTTTTTTTGTTTGCCAGGAGATGGGCTTTAAATTTACTATTTATCTGCTGCTATATTTTTGAATGAATTGTGAACATTTAATGCAGTGTGCCTGAATGATACATTGTGCATGCTGGGCTTTCTAAGAAGCGCTGCACTTGTTAACTGATTAAAAATCCAGACAAGCACTGTCTCTACTAGGAAACGGGAACATGCACCTTTGATGATGCATGGCCCAGCCCCAGGGCCATCCTTATAGTGAGGCAGCCTTAGGTGGTTACCTCAGGAGGCATCTCATTGGGTCATGTGGTCTCCTCTCCTACCAGAGTGTCCCAGGTTGCTAAGAGGAGAAGGCTTAGGAACCTGTAATGCTGTGGCTGGGATCCCGCCCACACACTGGCTGACTGGCTGCCAGGAGCTAAGCAGGAGGCTCTGGCCGGCATCCTGCCTATCACCTGGCAAGCAGTGATGATGTCGGTGATCTGAGCATGATGCTGGATAGAGCCATAGGTAATGTACCCCCTCCCTGTAAACCACCAGGACCCCCCTTTACCAACCAACTCCCCATAACATGCACCACCAGGGCCCCGCTTTACCAGTCCACCCCCCGTAACATGCACCGCCCCCACTCTCTCCGCCAGCCTCAGATGGTGATAAGTCTAGGGACACCCCTGCCCAGCCCATAACAAAGTAGATATTACCTGGGAACACCTGAGCACAGACATGTTCAAGGCTTCCCATTCGTTTGCTGGATCCCTGGTGACATTAGCTATAGGCGGCTAAAGCTGCGGACTGTGAAGTGCAGAGACTCTGACTCTCCTGAAAGTGTCAGTGGTGGCAAATATTATAAACTAGAGCGCCAAAGAGAAAACTGATTGATTCCACACAAGGTGCTACAGTATGTGTTACATGCCTGCAGTGTGGTGATAGTGTGGTAACAGGGTCTATTAACATGTCAATTAACATGTAACTTATTTCCCTTCTAGGAATCCTGATGATGATCTTTTCCTCTGCTGCCAAACTGCATCTAACGAATCTCGTGCATGCATTTAATAAAATTTTCATGATAACCTTGTGTTCCGTGAATTCTATCAGATGCTTTTTGTTACCACAGTCTCGCCCTGCTCCTCACCACAGCCCTGAGTTGCTGAATATATTCTGACACCACAGGTTGACTGTTTAAAAAAAAAAAAAAAGCTCTGAAAAAGTCAATTTCCTGTTGTGGGGGTAGAGGAAAGACAGTACACATATATAAACGGTAATAGAGCGGGACCGAGTGACAAGTAATAGGCAGGCCGTTGGGTTGTAGATAATACACAGCGACAGGAAGGGAACCAGACAATTCGAGCGGCCTGAGCACATACAAGTGCGGGGACCAAAGAGGAAGCCCAAGAGAGCTGGATGGAACTGAAAAGACAGCAGACACGATAACATGGTGAACAAGAAATAAAGGCTGAAGGGTGCTTTACAGAGGGCCGAGGCTTAGAGATAAAAGATCAATCTGTGCTGAGAAAGAGTTGCTGCTGCATCCAATAGTCATCACCATTATCTGAGACACAATGGTGGAGCCTTGTGAGGAGGACCTGGCAGGCCCTGAGTCCAGTATTCCACAGCTCAATCCCTTGGGCTCCTATCAGTGGAAAGGCCAAAATCGCAGTGTGTGGAACAGGTTCCAAGACTGGAGAACCTCATTTAGTACCCAGCATAAGCCATCCACGAAAAAGCAGTTACGTCTCTTTAAGAAGTCAAAGCCGTCCAGTGAATCCAAATCGGGGAGCTTTGCACGTTACCTGGGTTCAATCTCGCTGCCACAGAAAAGGAGGAAGAAGAACATCACTGAGTCGTTTGAGGTGACTGAGGGTGAGTAGAGGCTGGAGATGGAAGAGGAAGGGTTCTGTAATTTAGAACAGTGAGGTGCAAAGATTTCTAGGAGCAGTGGTAACTTCTCCATAAGCTGTTAGGACAAGGAGGCCCACACTGGTCTAAAACCTCTCATAGAAATGAGAATACTGCTAATGGGGATGGCTCAGGCAACTAACCTCACATTTTATATGTCTGGGTGACCATTCAGTGGGGCGTTTGGTGATTTGGGGCATGGTTTGGTCATTTGGGTATGGTTTGGTCAGTTGGACATGGTTTGGTCAATTGGGTATGGATTGGTCAGTTGGGTATGGTTTGGTCATTTGGGTGTGGTTTGGTCATTTGGGTGTGGTTTGGTCAGTTGGGTATGGTTTGGTCATGTGGACATGGTTTGGTCAGTTGGGCATGGTTTGGTAAGTTGGGTATGGTTTGGTCACTTGGGAAGGGTTGAACAACCTGTGTGCTCCTTTATTGCACTACAGTCAGCCTCCCTTCTCTACAGACATGAATGTGTACATATGGCAGAGCAGAGCATGCATGTTTATGGAGTGGACTAGAACCTTGTTCCTGAGAACCGCTAGATCACGCCTGCATACCTGGACAACTTTGCTATACCTAGAGCCACCTTAAATTGACTCTGTCAGTATGGTAAAACTGTATGATCAAGGGCTCACTGCAAAGAAGACCTTGAATACTCACCTCTCCTGCTGCCAATTTCTGCCGGCTGAAGATCCTGTAGAATCCAACACTTCCAGGAGTGTCAATTTCCTACTCCAAGATTGCCCTCAGTGGTTCCACCCTTAATTCAATGTGCTGTAGACACATAGGAGTAGTCTGGAGGAACCACAGAACACAGCAGAGGGGGGTTTGGTGGGAAATCAACATTCTGAAAGGTTTCGATCCTACAGGATCTTCAGCTGGTGTCTTCTCTTTACTGCTGCAGAGACTGGTAGCAGATGAGGTGTGTATTCAATGTCTTCTTTGCAGGGGGCCCCTCTATCGTATTTTAGCAACAGAGTCACTGCAACACTAGATATTCACAGTCAGATTTTGATCTGTCAGATTAACAGAAGTTACCAATCATATGATGCCCCTTGACACTACACAGCTGATGAACTTAATCTGACAGATCAAAGTCTAATGACGTATGGCCAATTTCAGGGCTTGTGAAGACGGCTTTGTTGATGGAAGATGTGTTTTACATTTGAATTTAGCGCTAAAGTCGAGCGTTGTAGTTCAGGAGATGCTTCATTTGACCTGTTTTGCTTGCAACACAGACAGATCTCGAAAGGACCTTCAAAGCAGGTTAAAGGCAGCTTCAGAATGGTCGTCCACCAATAAAACAAAGGCTTCCATATTTTATGGGGTGCTTCAAATGCAGGAAAACAAAGCCCAAATATACAAACCATTAGATCATGGGGTAGGCAACCTTGACACTCCAGCTGGTGTGGTAGTACAAGTCCCATGAGGCATTTCAAGACACTGACAGCCACAGGCAAGGCTCCCGGGGCAATGGTGGCATTTGTAGGTTCACCACAGTTGGAGTACCAAGGTTGCCCACCCCTGCATTGGAGTATTTGTAGGCTGTTGCAACCACATGAACACTACTTTGACTCCATTATCTCTGCTGCAATAAATCATCTTCAGGCAAACTGCAACTTTTACATGTTTTTCACTTGGGCACTCTTTTGGTGCCATTTTATTACCCCACCAGGCTCTGCAACGTTTAATCCCCTCTTCAAAGGTGAACTGCTGTACTTTATATGCTGATTTTTATACCCCTTTCTGTCTTACAAAGAGGATGCCATTATTTAGCAACATCTAATTTCTGTTCTTTCACGTCGTATACATCCTCGTAGGATGTAAAACTAACAAGATTTGCATATGAGCCTCAATGATTACGTGTGCTGCATGGGCTCATGGGGATAATTGGTGGGCGGTTTGATAGTGACAGGCCGGCAGGGGGTTTCAGTTATATTAATAAAGTTTTCTAAACAGCAGTGACTTGGTGACACGTAGGCAAGGAAATGGCAGTCCTAACTACATGGGCTATGAATGGACAATCACAGGGTCGTCCCTTTAATGAGGTAGCCTGAGGCTTTTGAACAGTAGAAAGGCATCATGGCACACTCACAAACTAGCATGTAAAACAACTTGTCTCACCACTAAGGACAATGACAGAGGTTTGGATACACGTCTTCTGCAAAGGATGTGTAAGCCGCACTGCCGCGCCAAGGCACCTCTTATAGTGCGGTCCTAACTCTAAACTATGAGAGTCTCCATCTTGGAGCACATGGGGCAGAAGATATCAAATTGGGTGCAGGCCTGTCAGGAGGACGCCCCACCTCCTTAAGGTACAGAAACACACAAGGGATCCCGCACATCCCATTGGCAGCTGAGAAACCCCATGCGTCGCTGCACCAAATCGGTAAAGCAAAACAAACGACAAACGCACTCAACAATTTGTTACCAGTTATACAGGTTACAAATAACTGCCACCCCCTCTCCAGCCAGAGCACCCCAGGCTGCTAAGAGCCGGGCAGGGAGATGTGTAAGGGCCATACACATATTCCTGCTGAACTCTTGGCAACCTGGGTCACTCTGACCAGCATCCCACCCAGCTCCTGGCAACCTGTGATGTCACTGGTTGCCATTAGCTAAGTGGGACGCCGAAACGGGCAGGGAGATGCAGAGCCTGCAGAGGGCAATGTCACTCCACCACCACTGCCACCCCCTCCATGACCGTCTTAGGTGGCAAAAAGGCTAAGGACACCACTGGACAATCATATATCATACTTAGGTATTAAACAGTCAATAGTTACAATACATGGGTAATAAAAGGGTAACTGTTGCAATGCATGGGAAACCATTGTAATACACAGGCAAGAAATTAGCAATCATTACAATCTATGGGCAGCAAACAGATGACTGTGACAATGTGTTGGCAACGAAAGGGCAAATGTGACAATATGTGGGCAACAAATAGGCAATCATGACAATAAAAGGATAAAACAACAAGTAAAAAAAAGTTTCTATTTTATTGTACATAGAAGACAAGAAGTATCATAAAAGCTCGGATACTCATGCTTCTCTTCCCATGTGGGACCTATATCTCCCACCAATTGCCATCCTACCCCCACCGGTTAGTGTTACACATGCTATGACTCTGTGCTCTTGTCTGATGGGGTGAGTGTGCATACCCGGCACGTATCACAGTCACCATAAACCGATTCTTCAAGGAAACGTGGGAAATATCACTATAGGTACAAAATATATAAATAATACATTTTTATCGAAAATATGTATTAATAAATCAGAAAAGCATTCAGATCCGTCTTTTATATCTGCATAGATTGCAGCTTTGACCACTTGCTGCGGGTAGCCGTACATTTACAGCAGACCACAGGAGTGGTTATACCAAGAACACGGCTGCTGCTGCAGCAATCTCAGTGTCATTTTAAACAGTCGGTGATGGCTGTTAATGACAGTACAAGAGATCCAGTGTCTATACAGCTGCCTGATCATTTGTACCGAGTGGCGGAGTGTGCTCCCCCCGCCCCCCTCTGCCGCCGCCACCTTACCCAGGCTCCACTGTCCCCAGTGCAGTGCCCGGGACAGGCGCGCCGGGTCTGCCCATAACAATCGGAGAGAGATCGGCAGGCTTGCAGCCGCTGACCTCTCCTCCGATCACTGGACCGGAAGTGATGTGTATTACATCACTTCCGGTGTCACTGTATACAGTCTCCCACTCTCAGAGCCAGGAGTGAAGCTGGGTAAGCAGATCTCTGCTTCCTCATCTTCTTTGGGGTCCCTAGGTGACATTAGGAGTCTAAAAGACCCCTGATGTCTCCATAAAGAGGACCTGTCACACCCTATCTGCTATTACATAGGGGGCATGTTAGCTCTATATGTGATAGCAATGAAGTTAGTGGGGGAAAAAAGTGTTTAAAAAAAAAAAAGTAACATAAAAATGTTTTTTATTTAAAGTCCCCCGCCTCCCACGTGCACGCACATAGACACGCAAACATGCATGGGTGCACCTACGTGCAAAAAAAATTTGCGCTATACATGTTAGATATCTCCGAGAGCGTCGAAGTGAGAGCAATAATTCTAGAGCCATCAATCACTGTTGGCACTAAACCGATGAGTAGTAAAAGCTTTTAAAGCCTCGCCTATGGGAAATTTCGGGTATTGTAGTTATTTGCAGCTTCACGGGCGAACACAATTTTAAGGCTTGACATGTTTAGTATCTATTTACCCGACGTGACCCCGTCTTTTATATTTTACCAAAACATTAGGTATTATATTCTGTTTCTCTGCGCTAAATTTCATTTTAGTGTATTTTATCCTAAAAATACTGGTTTGATAAACAGTTGTGCAAATACTGTGCTACGTTATATATTGCAACTAGCATCTTTTTATTCCACAGGGCCTCGGCTTTCAGAAAATGTGTCATTGTTTGGGGGTCTGAAGCTGTTTTCTAGCCACAAATTCAGATTTTGCCATGTGTGTGCAAATTAAAGAAATTGCTCCGGACAGCAAGTGGTTAAAGGAGAACTATGGGGTCAGGGCTTTTCCCCATAGTCCTCCTAAGGTTCACGGGAGAACACAAACTAGCGTCCTCCCGTCACCCAAAGCTCAGTATATAGGGAGCTACAGCACGCGGTATACTGAGACGCCGCAGCCGGAGCGGATCCCGACAATACTGTCTGGATCCACTAAGCTGCGTGAGTGACAGCTGGCTCTGCCTATCTAGAGGCAGAGCCAGCTGTACCCGCCCCCTCCCCCATCCGTTCTGCCAGTCAGCGCTGGAGGATCGGACAGGGGAGGGAATCCCTGCAGGGAGCCGTGACTGTCACTGCAGGGATAGATCGAGAAGTGAATGAGCGACGGTATGTGATCCCTCACTTCCCGATCTATTGAGACGACGTGTGACAGTTTCATTGTCACACGTCGGCTTGAACTATGAGGCTAAGTCATTTTCATTCGCCTCATAGCTC